AGCTAACAGAGGGCAGGGCCCCAGGAAGCTCAGCTCTGTCGCTGCCATCTGCAGGCTCCCCTGCTTTGGCATCATTGGTGATTCTGCTGAGAACTGGTCTTGAGATGCCCAACCTGGAAGGAGTCATTTCTCTTCCCTCCGGAACAGCCTTTGCCACCACAGGTAGGGGTCCCTGGAGGGAGAGTCACCAGCCTAGTGGGACTTCCTCCAGGGGGGTACCAGCCCCCTGAATCCGGGAACCATGATGATTCTCCCCAAAATGGGCCAAACGGGGAGGGTCCTAGAGCCCATCCATCTAATGAACATGTATTGGGCTCCTTTGGTGTGGGTGCGGTGCCAACACGCTCAGGGCAGGTACTGAAATCTGCTCTCCTGCCCGGCGGGCGTGGCTCAGTGGTGGAGCGTCGACCTATGAACCAGGCGGTCACGGTTCAATTCCCAGTCAGGGCACAGGCCCGGGTTGCAGGCTCCATCCCCAGTGGGAGGCGTGCAGGAGGCAGCCGATCCATGATTCTCTCTCATCATTGATGTTTCTCTCTCTTTTTCTCCCTCTCTCTCTCTGAAATCAATAAACACATATATTTTTAAGAAAGAAACCTGCTCTCCTGCAGCTGACCAGGTCATGGGTGTGGGGTTGGGAGAGAAGTTACAAGCAGGGAGAGGATTAACCATAGAACTGCCATGTGACCCCACAGTTCCACTCCTAGGCAGGGACCCGAGAGAAATGAAAGCCTATGTCCCTGACACGTGTACCCATGTGTTCACAGCAGCATTATCCCTAGTCACCAGGCGGTGGAAACACACCAATGCCCCCGCTGGACACATGGATAAGCACACGATGGCGCAGGGGACCCTGGAATATCGCTGTCACAGGAAGGAACGCAGCAGCCCAGCTACGTGATCCCAGGCGTCTGATAACCCAGATCAGGACGAGCTGGGGAGACGGGAAGGGAGATTAGTGGTGGCTTCGGGCTGGGGAGGGTGGCTCAGTGGGTGAGATTTAACAGTTCTCCTTCCGAGGCCACGGGCGTGTTGTGAAGGCATCGGGCCAAGGGTGTGCTTATCTGTAAATTTACCAAAAGCCATTGAATTGCTCACTTTATTATTTTCCTTTTTGTGAATCCTCACCCGAGGATATTCTTTCCATTGATTTTTAGAGAGTGCAAGGGAAGGAGAAATGGGAGACAGAGAAAGAGAGAGAGAGAGAGAGAGATCAATTGCCTCCTGCAAGCGCCCTGACCCGGGCCAAGGATTGAACCTGTGACTCAGGTACGTGCCTTTGACCAGGAATCGAATCCGAGACCTTTCATGCATGGGCTGATGCTCTAACCACTGCGCACTACTGGCTGGGCTGAATTGCTCACTTTTATTGGGTGAACTATCTGGTATGCATATTGTATCTCAATAAAGCTGTTTTAAAAACAAGAAGAAGAGGAGGAGGAGGAGGAGGAGGAGGAGGAAGAAAGGAAAAGAATTGCAACTCCCAGGCAAATCCAGAGCAAAGGATGTCCAGGAGATAACTGGGCTGGACTTGCCCAAAGCCCATGGCAGGGGCGGGGGCGGGGCGGGGCTGCTGCATGTGAAAGAGCCCAAAAAGCAGGGACTTGATTGGATCCTGTACCAACCGGGGGACAGCGGGGCCACTGCATGTGGGTGAGACAGCAAATGGTGAATGGTCATCGTGAGTACCCTGACGTGCAAACGCACTGTTTATCGAGGAGAACGCCTTTCCTCTTGGGGAGCACACGTAGGAGAATTTGGGGGTGACATGTCCTGATGTCTGCACGTGCACAGCAAAAAGTGTGTTTGAGAGAGTGTGTATGTGAGTGAATGTGTGTGAATGAGCGTGAGTGTGAGTGAATGAGTGTGTGTGAGTGTGAAAGTGTGAGAGCATGTGTGTGAGTGTGAATGTGAGTGTATGTGAGTGAATGTGAGTGTGAATGAGTGTGAGAGCATCTGTGTGAGTGTGAGTGAATGTGAGTGAATATGAGTGTGAGAGCACCCGTGTGAGCGTGAATGTGAGTGTGAGTAAATGAGTGAGAGCATGTGTGTGAGTGTGAATGTGAGTGAACGTGAGCGAATGTGAGTGAATGAGTGTGTGTGTGTTAAAGTGTGAGAGCATGTGTGTGTGTGAATGTGAATGTGTGTGTGTCTGAGTGTGAATGTGAGTGTGAGTGAATGTGTGTGAATGTGAGTGTGAGAGAGTGTGTGTGAATGAGTGTGAGCATGTGTGTGAGTGTGAATGTGAGTGTGAGTGAACGTGAGCGAGTGAATGAGTGTGTGTGAGTGTGAAAGTGTGAGCGCATGTGAGTGTGAATGTGAGTGTGTGTGTGTCTGAGTGTGAATGTGAGTGTGTGTGAGTGGAAAGAGCAGGAAAAAGCAAACAGCGGAACCCTAGCAGCGGGTGACGCTGTGTCCGTGAGGCCGTCGGGGTGTCGGTGCATGTGATGGAGGGAATCGGGGAGAGGTCCCCCGCGGCAGCACCTGCTCCTTCAGACCTGAGCGCCCAGGACCTCAGCCCCGAGGGGGACAGGAGGGTGGGAAACTGGCCTCTGGGTGCCGCCCAACCTGCTCCCCAAGCCGAGTTCATGTACCTC